TGGTGTGACCACTATTTGCCTCATGCAGTGCAACGCATCTTCTTCCCATAGAGTTTATCAGATTGTCAATTGTGGCATGTGGAATGTTGGTCCACTCCTCTTCAATGGCTGTGCAAAGTTGTTAGATATTAGTGGGAACTGGTACACGCTGTCGTATACGCCGGTCAAGCACATCCCAAACATGCTAAACGGGTGACATGTCCGGTGAGTATGCTGGCCATGCAAGAACTGGGACATTTTCAGCTTCCAAGAATTGTGTACAGATCCTTGCAACATGGGGCCGTGCATTATCTTGCTGAAACATGAGATGATGGTCATGGATGTACGGCACAACAATGGGCCTCAGGATCTCATCACGGTATCTCTGTGCATTCAAAATGCCATCAATAAAATGCACCTGTGTTCTTCGTCCATTTTAGATGCCTGCCCATACCATAACCCCACCACCACCATGGGCCACTCGATCCACAACATTGACATCAGCAAAGCACTCACCCACATGACGCCACACACGCTGTCTGCCATCTGCCCTGAACAATGTAAACCGAGATTCATCCGTGAAGAGAACACCTCTCCAATGTGCCAGACGCCATCGAATGTGAGCATTTGCCCACTCAAGTTTGTTACGGTGATGAGCTGGGGTCAGGTCAAGACCCCGATGAGGATGACGAGTATGCAGTTGAGCTTCCCTGAGACGGTTTCTGACAGTTTGTGCAGAAATTGTTTTTTTTATGCAAACCAATTGTTTCAGCAGCTGTCTGAGTGGCTGGTCTCAGACAATCTTGGAGGTGAACCTGCTGGATGTGGAGGTCCTGGGCTGGTGTGGTTACACGTCATCTGTGGTTGTGAGGCCGGTTGACTGTACTGCCATATTCTCTGAAACACCTTTGGAGACGGCTTATGGTAGAGAAATGAAGATTCAATGCACGAGCAACAAATCTGGTTGACATTCCTGCTGTCAGCATACCATTTGCACGCTCCCTCAATCCTTGTGGCATCTGTGGCATTTTGCTGTGAGACAAAACTGCACATTCCAGGGTGGCCTTTTATTGTGGGCAGTATAAGGTACACCTGTGCACTACTCATGATGTCGGATCAGCATCTTGATGTGGCACACCTGTGAGGTGGGATGGATTATCTCAGCAAAGTAGAAGTGCTCACTATCACGCATTTAGACTGATCTGTGATCAATGTTGGAGAGAAATGGTAATATTGTGTATCTGGAATGAATTTTAGATCTTTAAGTCCATCTTAGATCTTTAAGTCCATCTCATGAAAAATCGGAGCAGAAACAAAGGTGTTGTATTTATATTTTTGTTGAGTGTATATTCAGATATATAGGTATAGGTGATGGCTTCCAATCTTATAGCATCTGCAGCAAAAACACAACCACATAATCTCCCATTATGTGTGAGGGGCTTGTCATAGTGGGTTAGATTAGAAGTGGAACAATGACACCACCATTTTTTAAGTTTGTGCTTTGGCTGCAGGGGTGGTTTTTCCAAAAATGTCATTTTAAAGTTCCTAAAAGATAATGTCTTGTGGACAGGTGTCTGAAAGCATTAAACATAGCAGGTTCCCATGCAGAGATAATCTAAATTTAACTTCAGCATTGATCATTATTTTCCCGATGACACTTGATGGCCAAAAAAATGGGTGAAATACAAAGTGAAGACTTTAGGCATTACACACAAAGTAACAGATCTCCTCCAACACCACTTGGGGTTATACATCAGTGTTTTTCTCTACAGGATTAAGACGAGTCTACTGCTTTTTATGAATCCAGACAACAAACTCAAACGTCTGTTGTGCAAAATACCGTTTTTCTCAAGTCCGTACTAATGCACACACTGAAACACACAATCTATGAGTTAGTAAATGACTGTAGTCTATAAAACAAGGCTGGGGCATAAAAAACAAAGCTAATGTATATTAGACCAGGTGTTTCCAGATTTAATATCCTGATCAACTGGGCTCAGGTCCAACCAGATGTTCCTATCACCGAGAGGCATGCTGGAAACATCTGCTCTGCCATTCCGATCTCTCCCCAAGTAGAAAGTTGGATCGACAGCTACGCTACCCGTATACTGACTTTGTTAATATACATTTCAATTTATTTGATGTATTTTTGGTACTTAAACGTTTCTAGGAAAAATAAAGAAAACAACTTTTCAAAGACGTATTTTTGCAAAACATTGTCCAAATGGAAGCAAATCACCAAGCACATAACAAAGGATTTCCAACAAAGAAATGATTGGAATTCGTCACTCTCTAGTTTTGGTGATGCTATGAATCAAAGCGAACCGTAGCAGTGGGTATGGTTCACAGAGAACATAAACAAAGCTGTGGGCGAGCTTAGAGCCAAGCTGTATGGACGAACAGAGCTCAACAAATGCTGAGAGAGACAGATAAGTGAAACAAAGAGGCCAGCTGTGCTCAAAACAATGTGGGGAACGAGACACAGACTGCTGCTGAGGATGAGTGTGTTTGTGTTGTGTGTTAAGGTGTTATCACTGTATACTGTTGGGAGTTGTCTGCAAGTATGCACAGTGTGGTGTTTCTTTGTGTGCATGGAATACACAAGGCCTTGCAAAAATGAAGTGACTGTTGATTCAACATACAACAAAAGCCGGCGTGTCTCTGTAGTCAGTTTAAGGCGTCACTCCAAATCAAGAAAACTTCTGTTTTGCCTCCAAGCTTTACAAAGTCGCCGGAGGAAAAGGGGTTAAAAGCAAAAGAGAAATAAACGACTGTGGCAGAGATTTCTTGTCCACCCACACACCTCACAACTCGGTATTTATATTTTTTGGTCCTCTTGGGTATTAACTGTAGCCTTTGGGTTTTGGACAGAAACATAAGATTTTCCTTTAAAGCATCCTGTTGCGCAAAGTCCCAGAGAAAAAATATGATTTTTTTTTTATTTGGCATTTTTCACACTTCATTTGATAATACCACAGAGAATTATAATCATGGTTTTAACACTGAAATTGTAAGAAGTGGTATAGGTGATAATGCCAAACAGGAAAATAATTTTCCATGCTAATAAGTGCTTATAAATTCCTAAATGACGCCTCTCTACAACGGGAAATTGACAGCTTGAGGTGGTTTTAGCAAGTGTAGCTACTGGTCTCAGGTCACACCAGACCAGTACACAAAAGTCTTCTCTTTGGGTCACTGAACAACTCTTTCAAGCTAGCAAAGGGTCAGTAAACCAGTGACTCATGCACTTAGCACAAAGCAGGAGGCTATAAAGTCAACTGGGAAGAGGGATGAGGGGCGTGCAGGTGCTGATTGACTCCCACACACCTCTGTATTCTCACTAACGCAGAGATGTATCCACCCAACCAGGAAATGTTTGCAATAATGAACCAATTATTAAGTGAGTGGATCCTGTTCAAAACAATGCTTTCATGCATTTTGTGTACAAACTTAAATGCATGCACGCGAATTCAAATGAGCAACCTCTGACAGAACCCCCCAGGCCAGATACTGCTGCCCTTGCTGCTGGAACTAATAGAGCACTTCCTGCAGCAAACTCTACAAGCAGCTGCTCTGTTCTGTACGCATACATGATGAAACAAGGCGGGGGCGTATCTGTAATGAATTCTTCAGAGGAAAGTGCACAAAGGTCACCGTGATCCGATTTATTTCAACACTTCCAGCGCACAGAAACTCACAGCTGGGGTTGACTTTTGAAAAATGAAAATAAGGTGCAGAAAGCAAGAAGACAAGCAACCTTGTAGTCTCAGCAGACACAGTGTCTCTGAGACACCTGGTGCACACATGGCACACATTCAGTTCCTCACACTTATCAAGTGAATGATAAGAAACTTCAAAGCCAGACAAGTCCAGTGCTAAAAATATAATTTGTGAATAAAATCAACTGGAATGCCTTCTGTATGAATGCACTTTCAGGCTCACACAGATCCAGCAGAGAGCCTGTTGTCAGAGTGTGACACAGTCCAGAAGACCAGACAGGGGTCTCTGCTTTGAGACTGTGCAGCCGACAGTTAGCCTCTCCTATCTCCCTGATGGCCTGGCCTGACGCTGACCAGGTCATTCTGTCTTTTCTCTGGCCATGTCTTTCTCGCACATCTACTCTCTTCACATCATCTCCATCACCTTGTGCTAAAAAAAACTAAAAGAGGCTTTCCCCCTGCATCCATCTATAGATGAGCAACAAGAAGAAAAATTAAGCAGTGATGAAACAGAGGTTTCCTGTTAAAGTCAGGCTTCAACAGTTAGACGCAGCATGAAAGTCAGACACAGCAGTTTCCATCCTCTTCCCATATGTCTGGGTTACTGTACAACAGATGCACATGTCTTCTTTACCTACTTTATTCTGCTCTGCTTCTCATGTGGAAACACTGATTACTTGTTCAGTAAACTGCAGCAGAGGGAGAAAAGTCCATCTATTTATCAGGCTGTTAATACATAATAATAATAATAATAATAATAATAATAATAATAATTATTATTATTATTATTATTATTATTATTATTATTATGTTTATTCAGCAGTTTTCATCTCCAAATATGAATTTCATGGGGAGATGCAGATGCAATTGATACAGATAAGAAGTACTATCATAAAATGAATTAAATAAAATCCAGGAAAGAACCACATGAACCACATAGCTCTTTACCCAGTGGATGCCTATGTTTCTAAAGCCAATTAAAATCTATTTGAACTTGCACCAGTTAGAATCTTTGGACATTTGGCCGAGGGTTTTCCGCGCACACGTTAAGAAGGCATCCCTTCTACCTGAGCTGACAAGGATGAAGAGATAAAGAGGAGAGGATGAAGCTCCATCTGTACAGTAACAGAGCAGCTCTGGGGATTAGGATGAAACAAACAAACACACACTGTTTCCCAGACCACACACACACACACACACACACACACACACGCACGCGCGCGCGTTCACTCCTTTCATAAACTAACTCAAATGGGAGCTTAAGCCCTGAAACAAGCCCAGATTGGACCCAGATGCTCTCACCTCCTCTCTAGTAGAGTCCCCTCTTGTGTCCTGGGAGAAAGTCAGCTGCAGTGGCCGAGTTTGATTTCTTTATCCTCTGCTTTTTGTTCCTTTTCGGTGACTCCACGCCTTCATATGTCAGGCATGTGTTTGCATTCCCACATATGGGAGCTCCAGTGTGGCGAAGGCCAAAGCCAGAGACACAGATGGTACCCAGATGGAGACGGATAACCGAGCAGACCGCTGCTCCCCACACACACATACACACACACACACACACAAACACACTCTTACTTTCCTCCTCCTGTCTTCTTCGCTGATTGTGACTCGTCTCAAGTTCAGCTCTATCCGTGTCTATGTCCGTGACTGTCTGCCTTCCGTCTAGTTTCTCCTGTTGCTGTCCGTACGTCCTCTCTCATGTTAGCTCTCTCCGGCTCTGATCTCTCCTCCTCCGAACTCTGCTTTTCAACTCAGGCTCCTCCTCCGTTTTCCCACACGCTGACTCCGCCTCCGTGCCCCTGCAACGTCATGGTCCCTTCGCCCTACGTTCCGCCCACTCCGTTCGCTCCAACCATGCCCTTCTGCTGACTGGCCCTTTTCAACCTGCATTCATCGGGCAATGGACCCTGCAATTAACTTAACTAATTGCTTTGGCACCTAAAGACTAAACAGGAGGCTGTGCCAAGGGAGACAATCCTAAGTGTGTGCATCTGCATCTGTGAGTAACACCCCGCCACCCTCATGGAGGGATTGTTGACTGTCTTTTATTTTCATTTTATCAACCAACCTCTCCTTTATTCTGCTCTCCACGTCCACTCTCGTATCCCCCAAACTTAAATCACCATCTGATTTATGCCCAGTCTTGAGCAAAAGTGGGCGAGACAATGCAGGTCAAAGAACGGGCAGCTTACACACACATAAATCCTGGTCCTTAATTCACCTCAAGGATGCACTTAGGGTGTGGGTTTGTGTGTGACCGTGATAAATCGATTCTAAACACGAGGGAAATAAACAAGTTAAGAGATTGTAATCAACATGTGATCCAGTTGGAAGACAAAACAGAAACTTTTATATCCAAATGCAAAAAAAGATGCACACTCGTGCAAATAAGCTTTTAAAGTTAAAGTCCCATCAGTCATCATCACACACTGGTGAAATTGCACCTCTGCATTTGACCCATCCCCATGCGGATCAGTGAGCTGCAATTGTGGCTGCACTCAGGAACTATTTGGTGGATTAACCCCCAATGCAACCCCTTAAAGCTGAGTGTCAAGCAAGGAGGCATTGGGTCCCATTTTTAAAGTCTTTGGTATGACCCAACTGGGATGTGAAGCCCGATGTCCCAGTCCCAGGGCAGGCACTCTACAGCTAGGCCAAAGGCCACTGTGTCTTATGAAAACGCTGTGGTGGCATGACGAGGAGAGAATTTTACAGCTTTCATGCCACCAAGCTTGGCAGTAATCTTACCGCAACGGCGGACCTGAGAATCAAAATTACACCTTGGTGCAACAGATAGTGATGTCAAGATCACATGTGGAATGTCCGCCAATCCCCGGCCGGCAACTATATAATAAACATGGTTGACTTTTGTAAACAGATTAGCAGAGATAGTAAACTGGAGTAATGCAGAGCTCCAGGAGCTACTCTTTGTTAGAGCTGAAGCTCAGATCACCAAACAGCACGGCTTCAATCGCAAAACTAAGAAACACGCCATCTCTCTCGCTCTTAAATCCAGGCTTAAAACACATTTATTTAAAATTGCCTACTCTGTGTAAAGACTCCTGTGTTTTCCAGTTTTTTTTTAATTTAGTTGTTTCATTATAGTTGTTAATTTAATAGTTTCATTGGGTCTTTTTAGTGTAGTTTCACTGGACCTTCATTACTTTTGGTTGTTGTATTCTGGTTGTATTAATTTCTTGGTTTTATTGTGTCATATTGTTACTTTTACTATGAATTTCAATTGTACGTCGACCTTGGGGGTTTGAAATTTAAAAATAAACAAACTATTCCTTTAATGACAACAGTTAAAGCTCATAGTCAGAAAGTTGTGTAGTAAAAATCTACATTAGACCTGTAATTCATCAGTAACGACCTCTGTCCCCTTTCCCTCCCATCTAGTAAACTAGCTCTATTCAGGGTGCATCTGGTCAATCAGCAGGCTCAGAGGCAGGGCCAGGTGGTTGACAAGGAAGGGGGTGAAAAAAAACTACAGAAGGTCCGATCGTTCGCCTCTTTGTAAAGTGGAGGCTGACATTCTGTTATAAGCTAGTTAATTAGCTGGGAAGTGAGCTGTTGATTTCACCAGTAGACCTGTTCATAGAACATGTGATGAGTGGAGTATCTTTGGTTGGTCATGATCTTCATCTGTATTACCACCAAGAACATCTTCAAACTGCTGATTTTATTTTTAAAAAGGAAGAACGTTTGGAATGCCGCCTTTTGGCCATCATACACAGCTGACTGACAGCTCTCACGGAGATTGGATGATTTAATCACTTCTATCTAAGAAATGTGAAAACAATGGCCGCTATAAGCTTTACTGAAACAAATTTAGGTGCTGCCCTCTCCGTGAACAGGACGTGGTCTTGGTTAAATGGCAAAAAAAATCCCATATAATTTGTCAAGGTGCTGAATCTTAACGCTGACTTTACTGCTGCATGTTCATAGATCTTCTTATGTGCTCATCTAAAGATGATTATTTGAAATAAGACACATTAAAGCTACAATAGCAAATTAGCAAAACAAGCTAGCTTAAAAGGATTTTTTATTATGCCTCTTAATAACATTCTGACAGAGTATAGCTAAATGTCTTTTGGAGATTAATTACAACCCGAAAACAATTAATGAAGGTGTTTTCCCACATATGCAGCATCAGCCAATAACATGGCTTCATCTGAAACTAAAGAATCAACCAGCTGGTTGTCTGTCTCACTGAACCGCTGCACTTCCACATGTACCAGGGTCCTCTACTGGTGTGTGAAGTTCTCTATTCAATAATATTAGAGAAGGAGAAACAGCTGGCTGCTACCACTTCAATTTTAGGTCAAACTACCAAAGTCCCAAAAGGAAAACACTATTTGAAGTCACAGACAACAAAAGATGTTTGGATGTAGAAAAATGTGACTGGTGTTGAGCGCTATCTCGTTTACATTGGTAATGCAGGTTCCAGTATCCGGCGGACATAGCCTAGGGATGATATCTGACAGGAGCGATGAGGTTACTTGATTGTGTTTGTGTTTAAAAGCTAGAGTGTTTTGCAGATTTGCCATTTCAGCTTTAATTTGTAATAGTTCTAGGGTCAATTCAAGACATGTTTATGAAGTTTTGGGGACAAAATCCCTCACATAAAGCGATTTCTCCAATTTTATTCTTGACAGTTTCATAACCTTCCAGAACTAGCCGTTTCAGGGCTCTGTCGCTTTCAGAAAGCAAGCTGGAGCTGGCCACTCAGGCTGCTATAAGCTAAGAAGCTCCAATAACATCAGTGACTGTACTTAAACTTTAGAGTTGAAACTTAAAACTGGAAGTCACTCCAGGCCTGCACTGCACAAACCAATATGTCTGGCTGAAACAAAAGAAAAGCAAAACAAGTCAGACTATGAACAAAAAAAAAAAAAGAAACATTCAACTCACAAAACTGTTATGAAAGGAACGGGAAATAGGGTAGTCACACAAAGCTGGCCATGTCCATGCATGGGAGACTTTGGACCATTTGACCCAAAAGAAATAAGATGGTTAGCACATATGTAGAGCCCATGGAGTTGGTCCTCCCTTTAAAAACACTAAAAAGTTGTTGAAAGCCATGTGATATTATAAATAATGAAAGGGCGTTATTAGATAATAAATACAAGAACAGAGTGTTTGCATTGTAAAAGATACCTCCATCATTGCAGCATACTGTACCTCCTGCCCAGGAAGTCGGTATCTCTTGTCTGTTTATAAAGGTAATTACAAATAATCTCCAGATGTGATAATACAGATGTTTCCAAACATATAATTTAAAAAAAAATGTGCAGAGAATTGGATAACAGATTTTATTCACAGTTGTTTCTTCTGTTGTATTTTCCTACATGAATACTCACAGCATCAGAGTTAGTGGTTAAAACTGTTTTTGGGCTGTTTCCAGATTTTGAACGCCATCAGGTATCTTTCTGATGTTTCAGACTCATGATGAGTCAACTGTTTACTGTGAAGAGTTTTTTTAAACGTGACACCTGTCCTTAGGGCTAGTTCAGCTTCTTTATTGTGCTAACTAACCCTCCGATCACGCTCCTGCTGTGTCTATCTTGTTGTCTTCTGCCACTTGAATTGAATCGATTTTGTTTCTTCACAATTGGCCGAAGCGGGTTTGAATAGAGCCTCACAAACCGCCGTGCATGTCTGGATGCCTGCTAAGCTTTCTAACACATTACAAAACCTAAGCTGTTTTTCTCTGCTTATTACTGACTTTCCTACAGAGGGACTAATAAAGAGCCCTTTCATTTGATACCTTTATAGGAAACATTATTTGATAGAAATGAAAGAAACAGCCTGCTGGTTTAAATCTGAGAAATGTGCACTGAATGAGAAGAATCTAGTGATATTAAATACTTTTATGATGTAATAAACATCAGCATGCTATATGTGTTCACACTGAATTATCTCTTTACTGTAGCTGCTCATGCCTCTCGCAGCTGTCTGCCATTGTTAGTGTGAAAGATAAGGCGTGAGAGAGGGTACGAACAAGGAAGTACGCAACCTCTGCGTCTGTTCACACGCTCCCGTCCCTAACTTCCACTTTTAGACAAAGTAAATAGCATTTTTGATGTCAGAGAAGATGAGCTAAAGATTATAAAAAGCAAAACAAGATAAGAAGTACTGTCATAAAATGACGCAGAGTAGAAAAAACAAAACACGTATTTTACAAAGCTGTATCCCCATAAATGGGACAATATTAAAATAACAATTCAATTTTAATCTTGGATTTACCCCTAGAGCTGAAATGTGAACCCAATAAAAATCTCTGAAAGAGATGCCAACAACTCACCAGTGCCAAAAATCATCACAAATGCAATTTTACTTTTTTATTTGGACATCCCAGTTACTTTGCATATTTTGACAAACAGCCCTCAGAGTACATTGATATGAAAATAAAAAAAATCTTCCCCTCTTGTGTGCAGCAGGAGTGTTCAGCCAAGCTTTCATGAAGCTGTGCAGCTAACACATGTTCAGAACATTTGGTTTTCAGCCCTCTCTGGGGACTTTGAATGGGAAACCTTCATGATTCTATTTCACTGGAATATTTAAAGGTATAAAATCTGTTTTAAATGGTAACTAAAATATTTATTAATAAAAAAAGGTTTAATTTATCCCTGATCACAGCGTCTTACAGGTAAAAGCTTTAAACCTGATGCATGTGACCTCACTAGTCTCCTCTATGCTCAAGAGCTTTTTCACAAACTAAACTTTAATTAATTAGT